GGTTCTCTGTAACATGGTCAGGGGATCTCCATGTGGCCTTGTGAATTCTTTTATGAGGGAAGATGCTTCCTCCTGTTACCATCTGGTTAAGTGAACACAGGTCTGCAAATCTCTCACCGTTCTTAGCATCAGACCTACACCTTCGGTGTGGTGGGCTCCCTCCTCGGTGTGTCCTGAATACAACAGAGTTTCCCCGGTGGTTAGCCTCAGCTGTCCCGTCTGTAGCCACCTTAACTCACTAAATCCTAGGAGACAGATGTTGTACTGCTTCATCTCTTTTGCCACCTGTGCTGTTCTTCCTGCTTCATACATTGTTCTGATTTCCAAGTGGCAAATCTGATGGTTTTCCTGGATGTCAGAAAGGGAGTCAGCTCTGCAGTTTCCTTTTGGCTTTCATTGCATAGCATCATTGTTCCCCTTGAAGTAGGCCCAGTCTGGCCCAGGTTATGTTGGTTTTGGTTTGTTGTTGATGCTTCTGTAACTTGCTCTTTTTTATAGGCAGGGTTGTTGGCCCTACGCTAACCTCTAGTAACCTCGAGGAAAGGTGGTTTGATTTTGGAGTTTCCTTCCTAGACTGCTTTCCTTCCCTGGATAATGAGCACAGTCTGCCCATTTGGTTTTATGTCGGTGTTTCCTTCACCTAGCCTTTCCCGTGGTTGGGTATGGCCGCAAGGCAGCGGAGGTTTGGAATCAGAGTTTTCCTTCTCTTAGATGAGCTATCCTCACAGACTGATGAGCCCCATCTACCCAAAGCACTGGTTTTCAGGCGCCAGGTAACTCGCCTTCACCCCTTCTCCTATCAGTAGAAGCAGTTCCGCCGGGCTTGATGAAAACCACACGAGCAGGCTAGGAGCTGGACTTTGGTTGTCAGAGGCTACTGAGTATTTGAGGCGCACGCCATAGGGAGCTTTTTATAGACAATGGGAGCTTATCCCCATTGCCACCCCTTGGCTATAACAACCTTTGGAACCTCTGATCTACCTCTGGTATTAAGTAACCAGAGTAAGCATGCTAAGTGTATAATGATGATAAGCAATGGTACCTCTTTCATATTTGTGAATTTCATGGCCTCTGCATGGTTTATAACACGAATCAAATTCATTTGTTGGAAAGTTGTTATGGGATACTCAGGTGACCTATAAGGCCCGCGGGCCTCTTGTTTTATATTTACATTTCCAATGTCTTTGTCCAAGATAAAATAACAAATTGTAAATGTACTTTATTTCCTCATCAATATATTGGCGCGGTTCCAAAAAAAGCACGTGCAGGGAGAAACAAACAGCTAGTTAGAAGCAGGGCTTGGAGCACGTGGAAAGGCGGAATCAAAGCGTGTAAATACATGTATAAGGAATAACTGTCAGATTTTTCAATTTCATGACGATGATCAATCGATTGGCTTGCGTGATAATTTTATACATAAATACCTTCGGCGTTTATGCAAATTATCACGCAAGCCAATCGATTGATCACATCATGAAATCGAAAAATAAGACAGTTTTTAAGTTTAAGAATTATTTTATTCATAATATACAAAGTGTACAATATGAATATGGATTGAACAGCAGGCCAAAGGCCTATATTAGTTCTCTCCATTTGAGATCAAGGTACAATTAACATGAATAGAATTACTGCACATATTTTAAGCTCCACAAAACATGTATTATAAATTAATATTTAGAGAATTATAAAGAATGCATAATTGAAGAAAAATTGAGGGGCAAAAATACGTAAAGAAAACAATAAAATAAATTTAAAAAAAAAATGATAGAAAAAAACAAACAAACAAAAAATTAAGTAATAAGAATATGAGAAGGAAGGCTCAGATCCATACTTGAATGTTTATGTGTATATACTTTCAACCTAAAGGTCAAGATTGAAAGACATGCTGCACATTATTTAATATATTTTCTAATTCTAAAATCTTTTAGTGTTTTTTTATAAAATTATGAACTTGGTCAAAGAATAACATATTTTCTCTAAGAGGTAGACAATCATAACCTGATAATACAATATTGACATCTCTTGGTATGTCATGGTCATTCATGTATATAATTAAAGAGTTCCTGGCAAAATCATAACATGGGCATTGAAAGAAAAAAATGAACAGAATCTTCAAAACAATAACCACATTTTAAGCATTTATGTGAATCAACTAAGTTGTGATTAAACAAGTCTGCATTAAGATTACTAGTGAAGTTTCTCAACTGACAGTGGAGTATATTTAATTTTCTTTGTCCATAATTGTTGTATAATTTGGATTTTGTTTTATCTTCAAGATTTTTATTTTGTATACACTGTTTAAACTTTGCTACACTTGTTACAGATTTAAAGCTATCTGGCAAATCATTCCATAATTTAATTGTAGATGGTAAAAAGCTATTGTAATATATGCAACTGTTCTAGTGATTGGTAAGTGATATAAATTATTGCGTAAGGCGTAATTTTGTGAAACAGGTAGACATTGATTGATCATTTCTTGCAAATATTCAGGTGTATAATCATTAAGTATTTTGTACATAAGTGTAAACTTATGTTTAATAATATTTAAGGAATAACTGTCTTATTTTTATTATAAAAGCGTTTTGTTGAAGAAAATATACATGCCTGTATACTATATATCTGTATCAAAATATTTTATTTATATCTTTAAGATGATTTTACAATATACTTATTTAGAGAAATGTATCTTTAGACGATCTGCTACAATCACATTTTATCGAAACCCATTAAAATGGATACCATGCATTATATAGAATCGGATATGGATATCGATATGTTGTATACGTATATGTATGTTCCTTAGTTAACAAGAACAACTTAAACACCCAATTTTATGTTAACGCCCCCAAAATCTACCTGATTCAAGATCAAAAATTTACCGCCTGTCAATCATTAAAAAAACCAATAGCTTCTGATTTGATTGACAGGCCAGCTACCCGTGTTACCTGATAGTCTGAGTTTGTGTCTTTTGAAAACGATTGCCTGGTCACGCGTCAAACACTTTCATGTAGCCGCCTTGTATACACGGGGGTTAAAAAAAGAATCTTGGTTAAATGTTATTTCAAAAACAATTGAGAGTAGATAATTAAAACATGACTTCATAAAATATTTGCTTTCAATCTCAACGGCTATATTGTATTTTAGGCGATATATCGTCCAAAATATCTGCTGTAGAATTTGAACCGGTCCGTGCACAGAAACGCTATTTGCCGATTTAAATTGGAATAATATCATAAAAAAGAAAAAATATTTCGCACAAACGGCATGGATAAAAAATTCCTTTATCCCATGTTTTATCTATGTATATATGAATACAATCTACACCATGTTCCGTTTTAAATGAAATGTCACTTCGAGATTGTAACTTTTAGTTCGAATTTCCTAACGTCTGTCGATACCCAATATTCGAAATTAAAATGTGAATATATAAAGCCAAAGATCAATTCCTAAAAGTATATTTAGAAATCTATCAAATAATAAAAAATTTTAAACACACGAACACTCGGAAATGGTGAATATTTTCGACGCTATTGTTGATCAGAACATAGGCAATATTCCTATCGCGGTACATTGTATATGTTCACACGACGGATAGGCCTATGAATGGAATATTTCATTATTTTTTTAAATTTTGATATTTACACAAGTTTAATTAAAAAAGATATCTTTACTTTGTAGTTTTCATCTGTGTTCTTTTCTTTAATTTTACATTTTTTTAAAAAAATATAAAAACGATATTTCTTCATAACTTTTTTCTTCATTAGATATCGCTGAAAGAATGAAGTATAAATAAATAAATTTTATATTGAAATATTTCAATTATTTCAAGTAGTTTCACTCAAATTTAGACACGAAACATGGAATGTTGACCCTGATCACCAGACACAGACTTCCTGTGTAATGCTACGTGTATACAGATTTTTGACATCTTGGGTATTGGGGGTCTCCAGGTAAATAACACCACTGTTACTTCGACCACTCCCCCTCCTCAAGTAACCGTACGGTAAAAAAATTGGGTCTTTAAGAAATATGTCCTAAAAATATATTTTGAAACAATTATAGATTCAGTATAAAGGAGAACGACAAAAACGAAAATTTAGAACATGAATCATGCACCTGTAGCCATCGGAATATGTTAGTGGAGTATTTTTTGTGGAGCGATTTATTTAGGGTTTTCACGATTTACATGTACTGCAGTTGACTGATGCGTTACCCCCTTCGGTGGATATTACAAATTAAGGAAACTTAAATAAGACAAACAAAAATAGATGTATGGTTTGGTTTAATATTTTTGACTGATTTTGGCGCTATGACAAATCTTAAAGTTAATAGGTCTTGATGTTTTACATTAACAATAAATTCCTAAACTATACCAAGAAATCGTAATGAGGATTCTTTTGACATTGTGTTCAAATTTAGAATTTGTTGCATATTTTTGTATAATAAATATATATTTTAAGAAATTGTTACAGAATCTATCATGACATCTTTAAGAATTTCTACATTTACTTCGGTAAATATCTTTCAAATTATCTATTGCAAAAATCTATTAGACATTGTTGATTTCTAAAATAATTTTGCTTGTTATGTCTATGGTTTTATTTATCTTTCTATTAGAAAATTTAAAAAAAAAAAATACAAAAAAACCCCAACCCCCGCCCCGTCAAGTGATGCACAGGTACCTGAATTTGATCAATAAATCGCTAAATTAGCCAAATATCGGAAAATTTAAATACAGTGACTGATGGACCTCTTCTTTACAATTTTTCAGGGGACCCTCTATAAAAGTTTTATTCAATATACTCAGTTAGTTAAGCTGTGGGTATGCTAACTTTTCGTAGAATACCCATATTTTCTACTTAATATGATACATAAACTAAAAAGTACGGTAGATTTATTTGTAGAGCAGTGTGGAAAGTGGACATGATGAAAGTCCGACAAACATTAGTATGCTTTACTTTGATTGCCCTCTTACTTTTCTGTTTTTCATGATTGAAGAGTTCTGATTACGAAATTTGTTACAAAACTTGAAGATCACTCGGCCTGACTCGCCACTCGGCGCTTTTGTTGCTTGTTAGTTTATGCAAAATGTCTCGTTGTGTTTTAGCAAGATGTTACCATTGTTTTAGTAAATCAATTCTACCGAAGAATGAATTGGTTGCAGACAGGCTAGCAAAAGTGAGTACGAATGAAAGATTTAGGCCGAATTTCCTAGGCTACCTCGGGCCGCCTAGGTCATGATGTTTTGCCCTACAACTAGTATGTACCTACACTTGTATACACGATTAGCACTTGACAGCATAAATTGAATCCATTCATTTATGCTGCTGAAAATTAAATTCTATTCATCAATAAAACGCATTCTTTGATTATTTTAGGTGAGGCATTTTTCCAATCTATCAACAAGTGAGAAGGCCACAATTCTGTCTGTTACAACACATAGAAATGCAGGAGCTCAAGTTAAAGCACCAATCACAATAGTAAGTAAGGTGTGAGTATTCAGTAAGATTTTATTTTCATTCTACATATAACAAATTAATTATATTGATATTAAAAACAAACGATCTCTTTCTTGTCAAAGAATTTACATTGAATTTTGTTTTTTACTTGGGCCATTGCCGAACGTTGGTGGTTATCATGGTTATGTTTCCAAAACATTGCCCAACCTGAGAGTGTTTTCAACTAAGTTATTCTTACTACGCAAAGAAAACAATTCCACCTATTATTCAAAAAATCAGAAATTCAATTGTTTGAACTTTATCCTTTATTAAATTATTTCCACGTTTGGAAATACTTTTTTTTATAGTAAGTATGTGTAGCTTTTTTTATATTCAATTTTTATATTGAATTAGATGCAGCAAAGAGGAATGTCTAGTAAAACAGGAGAGACACATGAGGAGAGAACTGCTCCATCACTTCTGGGAAGAATGATGCTCAGTTTAAAGTCAGTGTTTTCTTCACAAGAAATGGAGACCATGTTACCAATACAGGTAGGCTAGAGTCCTTTATAACCAGGTGTGGTAGATAATACAGATGACCATATTAATGCAGATGGACATCGTGTTTTGGGAAAAGATTATAGAGATAAATGAAATACTGTAGAAGTACTTTTTTTGAAGTGTTATTAATTTAGGCTATGTACATGGTCACAAATAATTTGCGGAAATTTGTCCAAGTGACTTAAAACAGAAATTGAGATTCCACGAAATTATGACCCAGTTGAAAAAAAGTATGTCTAAAGTAAACATATTGACAAAGAAAAGTGTTGATTTATATTTCATGTACCATGATATGTTTTTATTTTGTAGAATTTACAAGTAGGAGGGACTGTTTTGGTCTTGTCAATATCTGACAATGTTTCGTATGAAGAGATCTTTGAAAGTAAGTATTGCTTATAAATTTATTTGCAATTTGAAAAATGTCCCTAGAAAACAAAAATTATTAAAATTTTATGTACTGCTAGTAAAGACTTTATTTTTCTCTTTTCAGTGGCCAGATTAGATGACAGCTTCTATTCTTTCTATAAAGTGCTAGAACTTCACTTATGGTAACATATATGAATGTATTGATGTCCAATATCTGAATGAAATTTAAAAAAAAAAGATTAAACTATGAATGTATAGTCTGTGTTAAACTATAGCTCTTTCATTTTACAGTTGAATCAGTTTGACAATTTCTTTTCTTTCTTTTATCCTGTGAGAAAGAAACAATTTTAAATGACCAGAAAACATATACATGTACTTTAATTTTCAACTCAAATATTTTAAAATTTTGGTTATAGAAGTCATAACTACAAATACCATTAGTGATTTATCTTTATGCTATATATATACTTTATTATCCATATTTCTAGGATGATGCTTCAGCGTTTGCAGAGAGACGGTAATGATGGTATAGTGGCGGGGATGGCTCTAGTGAGTGCCATGTGGTCAGACTTGGAACCACGCATTAAAATGGCTGGGGTATGTTTACTATCACTCATGTAATCATTCCCTGAATTCATTTTCTATGTGGCATATTTTAATGTTTCCGTTTGAAGTTTTATGATGTAATTTTTTATTGAATTGTAGGCCCAGATGAAACAGAAGAAAGACAGCCTTCTTTACTTTAATGATCACTTCCAGTCTGCCATGATTAGGTATGATGAGGTTTGTATCACATTTTTTTTACTTCAATCATGTAAATCCTAGATTTTCTTACTAGAAATTAATTCGGAACCTGTACTTTTATTATTTTTATTAATTTAAAGGCACTGTTAGTTGGAACAGATATTGCCCTTGCTCATGCTTTGTGGTTGAATATTTATGATGCTAAAGACTGTGATCCTAGGTGTTTGGAGTTCATGGTGGAATACACCAGGAAACAGGTGTGTTGCTTGATAATTGATTATTTTTCAGAAATTTTAGTCAAGAATTAAAAACATCAAGGGAGATTATACTGTTATTTTCTTGTAAAATTCTTATGGAAAAATCAGCACAAAATTAATTTGAAGGAAATAATTATAAAGTCTTTTTGTCACAATCTGGTGTTCCAACTTCTTATACATAAATAACATGAACACAGAGACTAAAATATAAAAAACATCTTCAGATTTGAGGTGTTAAAGTCAGATGCCTTAGTTTTTTTTAAGTAATTTGCTGTTTTATTTTCCTACAGATGCACTACCTCCAATCTATTGACAGTAAAGTACTTCTCTGTGGAGGACAGTTTTCATTTTTACCTTTAGAAGTGGACGAGGAAACCAGGAAAAAGACAGAGTGAGTTATACTTAGTTAAAGACAGAATAAGTATTCTAATATTGTGGACTTTAGTACATTTTTTTATGCTGGAATACAAGTAAAAAATCTTTAAAAGCCATCTCAAGAACAGCAGGGGCATGATTTATCAGATTATAACTACTATGCAAACATCCTGAGGGTTTGCTCATACATGTTAACCTATTGTGATGAAAAATAGGGAGATTCAGACCTCAAAAGCGGTAGCATTGCGCGCGTGTCGTTTTACGCTTGGATTATCGATACATTTCATGTAATATACATGACTGTAGCCTTAAATGAAACCTACAATATTTAATCTTAAATATCAACTGCACTTTAAAGAAGAAGACAGAAACACCTAAGTTTGACATAAATTGTACAAATTCAAATATTTTTCATGCTCATCATTTTGCTTGGATTGGATGTTTAACTTAGCCTTTTGAAGAGTGATCTTTGCTGATATAGCCTAGAAGCAATAATTCTGAATGTTCATTCAGTTGTTGAACAAAACAAATGATGACATGGTTTAAACTAGATCTAAAACAAGTTCCTATCTTTCGTTATATAAATCAGATTTCCCGCGATGATCGAAAACGAAAGTAGAGATGTGCCACATGGTTTGGTCAATCGAGTGATTTCTATTGACTTTATTGATAACATTGTGGGCTCCTGTGCTTTTATAGACAATGTCAAACGTTTTCATCTAGTTCTTAAAAGCTGTATCTCCTTTTTCATTGCAGTGATGTTGACTAAATTTATCGTAACCAATGTAATCACTGGTAATCTTGTGCTGTTGTCATTGTCAAATTCGTGCTTGAAATCTACGTACACATCGATACTAAAAAAGCGTTTGTATATATGCTTCCGAGTCAAATCACGCGATATCTAACGAGATTTTATGAGAGTGGCTTCAAAAATGGATACCCAAGCGAACCAAAAATACTTTAGACACAACTTTTGTAGAAAAGCGGTAGATTTCTGAATTAAATCGGTAGGCGGGAGATGGAGTGAAAAAGCGGTAGACTCCCGCCTAAATCGGTAGAGTTAACATGTATGGTTTGCTCCAATCATGCTCCACTGGAGATTTGAGTCACAAACAGGGATCAAAATTTTATGTATGAAAATATACCTTCAGGTTTGTAGCTAAAAAAATCTTTAAATTCGTCCTCTCAAAAACAGCAGCACTGGCTATATTGTTTAGTATAGCACTTCAGATAATATAGATTCAAATTTGTGCCAGTCCTGCCCTCTTGATGAAATCAGGGCCACAATTAGGAATCAATATTTAATCAATTAAGAAATAAACAACAATGTTAAAAAGTCCTCTGGGAAATGGACTTTTAGTTGGTCACGTGATCAAATCCTGTGAAGCACGTAGATTTGATCACGTACCATCAAAGTTCATTTCCCAGTGAACTTTTTAACGTTGTTTATTACTTATATTTACATTTGAGACGAATTCCGAATAAAACTGTATTTAATACACGAACTGGCCACCATATCGTTATGTTGTGACGCGCAGTGACGTAGGGGGCCTAGAAGTTGTTTGGTTTAAAAGTTCGTTTTGCTCCAACATTTGAATAATTTACAATGATGTTCAGCAGTCCGGTTCAAGATTCCTGTGTTTATAATGTAAGAACAATGATCCCCACTGAGAATAATCCTACTATTTTACGAGTTTTTAATATATTTGAAGTCAAAAGCAGTGATATCCCCTGTTTTATTTAACACAACTTCCAAGGAATTTCGGGTTAAAAAAGCAAGTCCAATTTTAGGCTGTAATTATAGTATTTAAAACATTCTTCACACCAAAGGAAGATCTATTGAACATCTGTTGCATGAAAATATCTATATGTGTCAGTTATTTTACCTTTTTCATTGCTTTAAACTTGGTAGTTCCGAAAACAGACAGAAATATATAAACAAGATATCACTTCGCCGAGCGATTCGGTCACGCTATGACCTCTGACCCCCAAATAAAGTTCACAATTGAACATATTTTCTCTTCAATAGGTTCATCTAAGAAAGAATAATGCAAATGTAATTATTAGGAAATAAATCTTTAAAATCCTCTCGTGAACAGAGTTTATTAGACATAATAATATAGAACCATCCTCATGTTGTGCAGATTTAAATTTATTATGCACCCCTTTGAAGAAGGGAGGGCATATTGCTTTGATGCTGTCTGTCGGTCGGTCTGTCCGTCCATTTTCTTCACAACCGTTGCACATACTGAAATGAAATTTGGTATACAGATTTATCAGATGAATATCTAGGTTATGTTCTGTTTTGGGAACGATCGCACCATTTTTGTAAGAGTTATGCCCCTTCGACTTAGAAAAATTCCAATTATTTGCAGTTTCTGTTCATTTTCTTCGCAGAGATTGCACATATATTGAAATGAAATTTGCTATACAGATTAACCAGCTTAATATCTAGGTCAAGTTCTGTTTTGGGTAAGATCACACCATTTTTGGTAGAGTTATGCCCCTTCTACTTTGAAAAATTCCACTTATTATGCAGTTTCCATTCATTTTCTTTGCAAAGGTTGCACATATTGAAATGAAATTTAGTATAGATTTATCAGCAGAATATCTAGATCAAGCTCTGTTTCGGGTACATTCGCGCCATTTTTGATAGAGTTATGCCCCTTGGACTTGGAAAAATTCCAATTTGGGGAGGGGTGCATAAGTATTTTACAAACATCTCTTGTTATTGATTAGAGATAAACAGGAGATGTTTGTAAAACACTTATGCCCCCTTCCCCCAAATTGGATTTTTCCCAAGTCCAAAAGGGCATAACTCTGTCAAAAATGGTGCGATTGTACCCAAAACAGAACTTGACCAAGATATTTATCCGATAAATCTGTATAACAAATTTCATTTCAGTATGTGCAACCTCTGCAAAGAAAATGAAAGGAAACTGCAAATAATTGGAATTTTTTCTAAGTCCAAGGAGCATAACTCTGTCAAAAATGGCGCAATCATACAAACAGAACTTGACCGAGATATCCATCTGATAAATCTGTATACTAAATTTCATTTCAGTGTGTGCAACGGTTGTGAAGAGAATGAACAGAAACTGCTAATAATTGGAATTTTTCTAAGTCCAATGGGCATAACTCTGTCAAAAATGGTGCGATCGTATCCAAAACAGAACTTGGCCTAGATATTCATGTGATGTATCTGTATACCAAATTTCATTTCAGTATGTGCAACGGTTGCGAAGAAAATGAACGAAAACTAAGTGGACTGACAGACCGACCGACAGACAGCAGCAAAGCAATATGCCCTCCCTTCTACGAAGGGGGGCATAAATATTTACCAGGGAAAATATAGGAAAAATTTAAAATAACAATCAAAGGTTTCTCAAGAAACAGTAAAATGAACATGTTGAAATCTAAGGTAGTTATAGGTGAGCCCAAAAGGGTTATAACCTGAAAAAACTGATACTCAGTTGACTGTTAGGACCCAGGGGCCCCTCGTATAAAAAATGTCAACTTATAATGTGTAAAATTATTAATGTCCAAAAAAGGTTTAATATTTTTTTTCTGTAGTTTCAAAAACTGATTATTTTTTGCAGGGAAAGACAGTACAAGATACCCAGACACACAAGGAAGATTGATTTTTAGAATTCCCTGAGATTTTTTCAGACTGTAAGAAGATAAGTATTACAGAAACTGCCACATGTAGAAACTTGTCGAAAATTGAGTCATTGTAAATTATAGAGATAATAATGAAAATGAATGATGAATGTCTTGTTGTTGAATGATAGATATTGAGTTATTATGTCGGAGATTTGAATTTTTTTTTTTGTAAAATAGAGTTATAATGATCCTGAAAAACAAAGACTTGATCACTTTCTTACACAAAAATTACATGTATTTGGCTAGTGTGTAATGATGCCCCATAAAATAAATGATATAGATCAAGAGTCTGTGTGAATGGACATTGTTTTTATCTTTGTGGAGAGAGAGACCTATTAACATTGTAAGGAAGGCTTTGTTACTGTGTTATAATTGATACTGTGTGATAGACCCCTAGCACATGTAGCTTTTCATAGAGACAAAGTAATTTTTTATAACCCTGAAATGTTATGTACTTCACAGGAATGCTAGGTTTGATTTTATTGAAATGGAAACCAATTTAATTTATGTATTTCTTGAGTTACAGATATTACTTAAAATGTTCAAAATACAGCAACAATTATATCTGTGCAAACTACAACTACAACTGGGATTTAAAAAAAATAAATTTTTGTGTGTTTTAATCAGAGACAAACTACAGATAAAAACTACATGTAATTCTGTTTTTAAAATATTAACAGAAAGAACACTGACTGAATGCTCAAATAAGATAATAGAACATTTTCAGGGACTGTAGTGTTTGTGATGAAAACAGAGCAAGATAAGATTGCCTGTGATAAACGCTGAGTAAATGTGTAATAATGACATTGTGTGACCTGAAGTAGGTGTATGTAAGTGATATTTTGACTGCTGTGTAGTGACTGAGCTGGGCATCAGCATCTGGAGTCTTTGACCTTAAAATGCCTTACAGCAATGCTGCCAGATTACTTTGACAGATATATTTACAGGTGCATGCAAATTTATTGTGAATACGTAGCTGTACAAAGATTGGATCTGAAGGAATTTTGTCAGCATTTGTTGTTTTTTTTTTTTTCAATAAATTATTGTTTTCTTATTCAAATCTAGTGTTTTTAATAAAAGATATAACTTGAGAAATGAACCATGCAAATTGGGTCAACAAGTATGAACATGGTATTATATTTCTTTAAAATTCTGCTGGATCATCCTCACTTATTTTTCTTTAATTTAAGGACTGTACGTCCTCAGCGTCTGTCGATTTTTGGACATATTTTGAACATATGCTCTTAAGAATTTGAAAAAAAACTGTGTACATATGGACTTTTATTTCTTACAAAAAGTAACAAATTGAGGTAGTACTACACGTACTGTAAAATAGTCATGTAACAGTATTGCACATAAAAATAAATATCCATATTACAAGGAAAAGAATATCTGCAAGACAAATTGACTATATTGATGAGTTGGTAATGAGGAATTGCATTTCATGTACTTTTTGAAGGCGTCTTTCAAAACGCTTGCATTCTCCACAAAGCGCGCCATGAATCTAAATCGTAATTGACGTGGTAGCACGTGACCAGTGTATACACATTCGTTTGTCAATGCATATACCAAGAAATGTAGATTTAAAGTATGGCACAAATCTAGAACAAGGACAAAATACTCTTGAATGTAGAAACGGGTCGATTTCTAGCTGCAAAAGCTATTAAATGTCATTTGAATTTCTACAGTCTTGGAGAGTAATCGGATGAAATCCGGTTTTGGCATAACAAATATTAATTTTGAGCGTCTACAAATGGGAGGGAACTCCGGGGAGACCTGCCTTTGTTATCTGCCATTTGCTGCTATGGGAACTGTGATTTATGGTATTATACAGCTGTTGATAATCATAAGGACTGCGGCAGTCAGTGCGAGTGCTGCACCAGCAACGTCCAGACCGAACGACCAGCTAAGAAGGGAGTTGTAGAGATCGATCAAGGAGGCACCATAGATTATCAAGCTCACTGTGATGCACAGACCTGATGAAAAGAAAATTGTGAAAGAAAAAATCATTAAAACCTGAAGATATGTAAAAGTTTATGACCTATCGGATCATGACTTGGATTTAGAGTCATAAATTCAAATTTCATAAAAAAGAATGTGGGTCGATTACCGAACAAATGCGCTTCGATAGAGAACGATTGATTTCGGCTCATCGAACGCTATCATTGCTAAGGAAAGTCAGCTGGCTCAATAAACTCGCCAAACAAGTGTATTGAAATTGTGAACTAGTGCTAATTGTAACGGGGACCGTTACAGATGTTCCCCAAACGCTCCCCATCTCCCTTTTGGTGCCATATTCCCTGTTAGCTTCATTAAATAAGACAAACATTATGCATTTGAGACTTTAACAACGTTTATCCAGAAGGGTACCAAGTTCATTCAAATTTTAGCATTGTACGCATGTGCATGTAAATGCTTGTGCGTAATGACCATATCATCTTGTCTACACAATCTATATACTTTAATATACTAGATATTAAAGTATTTAATCCAAAAGTATTTAAAAAATACGCTCATTCAAGTGTATTTTTGATTTTACTCATTTCACATTTCTCATCTCATTATATCTATCTATGTTTCAAATCTCATCCTGTTTGGTTGAAAACTAAGGGAGTTATAGCTATTTAAAGTTTCAGCCAATCAGATTGCAGCGCACGTACACTCACGTGTATGGATGTGCATGGTGACATACCTTCTTGTAGAAGTCTATTATATCTATCTATGTTCCAAATCCAGTCCTGTTTGGTTGAAAACTAAGGGAGTTACAGCTATTTAAAGTTCCAGCCAATCAGATTGCAGCACACGTGCATGCACGTGGTTTCTTGATAATTGCTATATATAATGTTGTAGGATATCCTAATGCATGGCTATGTTCAAACTTTCAAAGGATTTCATCAAAAAACAAGAAAGATATTGAGACTTTAGTTTCAGCCAATCAGAGCGAAGCGCACGTGCATGCGCGTGAGATCTTGCTATTTTGACCATATCATATTGTCTATGCTACAACTATATTCTTATATTATGAGTTTCAAAGCATTTCATCAAAACGGTAAAGATTTACGTCTATATCAATGAAATCGGTCATTTCACGTGTTGCTCGTGCGCGCTCTTGCAAGCACGTGCACACAAAATGGCATGTTGAAAATGTCATCTTATCTACATTTATAATATGTCTACATATTCTAAATATAAAAGCATTACATCGAAAAATGTAAAAGTTACGGCAATTTCAAGTATATTGGTCATTTCACGTGTTGCACGTGCGAAAGCACGTGCGCGCAAAATGACCTTCGTTCCGCAAATCTACATAACATGCCTACTTACCCTAAAAAGGTTTCCCCTTAATCGGATGTGTACTTTACAAGATCATTCGCGGACAAAATTTTCCCGAGAAGAAAAATAATAATAATAATAATAATAACTAGTGCTAATTGTAACGGGGACCGTTACAGATGTTCCCCAAACGCTCCCCATCTCCCTTTTGGTGCCATATTCCCTGTAAGCTTCATTAAATAAGACAAACTGTATGCATTTGAGACTTTAACAACGTTTACCCAGAAGGGTACCAAGTTCATTCAAATTTTAGCATTGCACGCGTGCGCATGTGAATGCATGTGCGTAATGACGATATCATCTTGTCTACACAATCTATATACTTTAATATACTAAATA